CAATTAATTAAGTCGGTGAACCCAAATATTTGCCAAAATTAATTTTGCAAATGTCGCTCAAAACCCGAGGCCTAGCCTCCAAAAATTTTAATTAAATAAACAAAATAATTAAAATAATTAAAACGACAATTTAAGCAAAATTACGAATTCCAAAATGTCTAAGTGCCTAGCACTAAGACTTGGAGTCCAAAAATTACCTTTACTTACATATTAAGCAACGCTAAAATTAACTTTAAAATAGCATCGCCTTAATAACCCGGGGTTATTGTGCCAATTATGGGATTGTACGTACCGTACAACAAGCACGTAGTATGCCCATGCGCACCCCAGCAACACCAAGCATGCATGTGGGCTGCTTGTGCTCGCATGCGCCACGCCCAGCCCAGCCAAGCGTAGCAGCATGCACAGCGCGCACAACATTATGCTGCTGCTGCGCCATGCTGCTGCTTGCTGCTGGATGGCGCGCTATGCTGCTGGCAGCGAGCAGCAGCCCACGCCCTTCCTCGCACACACACATGCACAGCACCAAGCACCTAATAACGAAGTGCCCAGCAGCCTCGGCAGCCACATATGGGTTGCGTGAGCAGCCCAGCTGGCCGAGAGCTAGCTCGGGGCTCTTAGGCCTCGTGTTGCGTGCTAATGTTTCGAAAATTATCGATTTTGTGTGTGACATTATAAATCAATTCTAAATTAATTTTAGAATCAATTTTGAGGAAAATTGAAAAATTACAAGTCCAACTTAAATAATTCATCCAAATGCAATTAACCAAATTTATTTCCAAGAACCATTCTTTAATAAAATTGGTTTAACTTGGTGTAATAAAATAAATTAGGGCAATTCTCACTATTAATTTAATCACTTTAAATTAATCTTGAGATTTTGACAAAATAAAAGGGAGTTGGAAAAAATGAACATAAGTTCAATAAAGACTCCAACTTTAATACTTGTGACTTCATGAAAAATTATATCTTCCAATATGAAGATAAACCAATTTCAATCACAAGTTTTAAACTTTATGATTCCAATCAACTAACAAATGATTAAATCAACAAAGTTTAACCAAAATTCATGGAATTTAGTAACTCAAACTTTCAATCACTTATCATAAATAAAGATTGAATCTTTAGTACTTGGAAGCAACAAAGAACAAAAATTTCACACTTAATGCAATTAATTTGCAATTATGTGAAAAAATAAAACCAAACTTTCAAGCACCAATTACTACCAAGTAATCATGCTTAAAGTGGTCTAAAATTGCATATAAATAAAGGAAAGAACCAAATTCATAACCACCATAAATATGCAATCAATTTTCAAGGTTAGAAAGACTTAAAATTTTTCGTCAAAACGAAAAATCCCTCGAAAAATTCACTATTTTTGGGTCGAAATCTGGGTTCGGGAGCTGAAGACAGCTCTAATACGAGGTAAAAATTGGAAAAAACGAGTTACTAATCTAATTAGCAACTTAAAACCAGAAAAATTAAGCCATAAAAACACCTTGAAAATATTATGATTTTAAAAATAAACGAGCGAGGCTCCGATACCGCTGTTGGGGTTTGGTGAGTCCGACTCACCGCGGAAACAAACCCAAAAACAAGACCGCACTCGCAATAAATAAAACCATAAACATAATTAAATTAATCACAAGATTAAGATAAGCTAATTACCTTTGACGCGTGCTTCGCTCCAAAATGAGCTCTTACTTGAAAGCTTCAAGTCCCGCTCACACGGAGACCTCCAACGAAGTCCACCCGCACCAACAAAACCGACTAGGTCCAATGTCTTGGGGTTAGCAAGACCCGACCAATAAAACCCGAGTAATTATATTGAGTTCAAAGGTTTTCACTAATTGTGATGCCTTTTTCAACTCTTACTCAAGCAACATTCCCAATGCCCATACTTGGGTATTTATAGGAAATGATGGGAGTATCATTTACTCTCCCATCAATGTGGGATAGTATGATTTTTCCATTTTATTTTAAAGCTAAAATAAAATTAATAATCAAGCTAGTAATAAATCAACAAGTGGCAAGCTCATGTGAGTGGTTAGGTGAGGACCACTTGGAGAAGGGGGGGACCAAACTTGCTCCCCACTCCCTCTCCCATAACCGGCCACCCTAAAAAAAAAGAAAAAAAAAATTCAGAACAACCCAGTAGCACCCCCACCACCACACAAACATCACCGACGCACATCAAACCACCACCCTCACAAATGGACAAAAATGGTCGATATTGGCCACAAATGGCCGAAAATGGCCGATGTTGGGGCTAAATACCCTAAACCGGCCGACTTCGGCCGTTTGTGGGCGATTTCGTGCATAGGCGTCGCCGATTTCGTGGCTGGGTTCGCCGATTTCGAGGGTGGGGAGGGGTTATCGATGGTTGGGGAAGGGTTATCGGGGGCTGGGGATGGGTTTTCGGGGCTGGGGTGGGTAATCGGGGGCGGGGAGGGGTTATCGGGGCTGGGGAGGGGTGTTATTGGGGCTGGGGAGGGGTTATCGGGGGTGGGGGAAGGGAAGGGGTGGCTGGCGGCGGTTTCTGGTAGCGGGGGAGGGGTTTTTAGGGAAGGGGCGGTTTTTCCGACGGGGTAGGGGGTGGGGGTGTGGTGTTTTACGAGATAGGGTGGGGGGCTGGGTATTTTTCCTTTTTTTTAATTTTTGTTTTAATTTTAATTTTTGTTTTTCTTTTTTTTTAGACCTATCACGTGTTGACACGTGTCTAGGTAACCTGCTACATCAGGTTAGATGACCTGTTGGGTTCAACAAAAATTAATACCCCCTAAAGTTGGGAGTGATAGATAATAAACGAAAGTTGAGATTATTTTCGGCGGACGAGGCAAAGTTCAGATTAATGGGAGCAAATTTTCCTTTATAATAATGTTTCCTCCTTTTGAGAGGAACTTTTCTCTCTCGAAAGAAAGGGTTTCCGATCTCCTTCGAAAGACAAGGGTTTTTCGACCTCCTTCGAAAGACAAGGTTTAACTCCTCTTTTCGGGGGAAAAATTTCTTAGTTTTGAATCCATGATATTAGATCTAATGGATTGTCGTGAATTATTTCGTTAGTGAAAAAGTTATCAAGTTTTCGAATGCAGACAGATGAATTAGAAGAAAAACATCCTCATGGCTACAAAGGGTCGTTAGATTGTCTCTCCAACAAGGCTGTATTTTCCAACGATATAAGCGGGAGATGTTCCATAGTACAAGATCTACTCGACGATCATAGTTTTTTTGAAGGAAAATTTTATTTGATTCAATATCTTATGTATTTTTTAACGTCAAATCTATATTGTAGATGTCGAATGATTTTTAATTAATGAAATATCTTTGTTATTATAAAAAAAGTACTCGTATATATCACTTGTAAACTTTGACCTTAAGTGTACAATAATCTACAAGGAAGAAATATATTAAGTGGGGTCTTGTTAGATCCGTAATAATGTATATTTTATTAATATAAAATTTTCATAATTTTTTATTACGAAATTATAGATATTTAGCAATAAAAAACTGCACATAAAACGATGATCTCATTTGACTTCTTTAGTTTAATTTCATTTACTAAGGGCCTGTTCACATTTACTTAATTTTAGTTTAGTTCAGTTCAATTCAGCTCCAATCAGTTTAGTTCAGTTCAGCTCCTAATTTCTCTCTCTCATAAAATATTCGGTTCAGCTTTAATCAGTTCTGTTCAGTTCAGCTCTAATCATTTATGTTCTGTTCTGTAAATATGAACATACCCTAATTCTTTATATATATATATATATATATATATATATATATATATATTAGTTATTAATTCCAATTTTCTTTTTTTATAAACAATTCATTTCAATTCAGTAAATCACAAAATAACTTAACTTAAAAAATATATATATAAAAAAATAAAAATAAAAATTGAGGTTAATGAAAAATTGGCATAGGTTATTTAGCAACTCACCTTTACTATAATCTGTCTCCATGTGTAGAAGGACAAAGTCAAGGGACTCTAACTATCACCCTCTATCTTCCCTTACGACAACGAATCTCAGCCGTTGATTAACTTCACCTCTCTATATAAAACCAAGAGAGAAAAATTTTCACACTTTCTCTTCCTTTCCTTCGTTTCGATACAAATCTAGGGTTTTCGTGCTCCGCTTTTTTGTTCGTCAGGTACGCTTCACTCATCCTACTCAAGTATGTGTTTTTTTTTTTTTTTTTATGATTTCCTCTTTTTCTAAATAGATTATTTCATCATATTTGATTTTTGATATTTAATTTTATGTGATTGATTGAATTTTGTTTGATTGATTCGTATTTTGATGTATGTTGTTCAATCGATTTGTATTCTTGGATTGATTTTTTCTGAATTTTTGTGTTGGTGGATTCGAATCAGTAGGCTAGGCTTTTTATTTGCTTTATGTTTATGTAAGATTTATTGATTTGGGCGATTTTGATTTATATTTGTGTTTCTTTTTGTGTAATTTAATTATATGTTGCGGATTACTGTTATTTTTTCCTAATCTTGTTACTGAATGACTGAATGAATTTGATGCTTAAAATTGGCCTAATATCAAACAGCTAATCACGTCGATTTGATGTAAGAATCACGCGTTTACCGTCGTTGATTATTTGTTTAATCAAATGCTAGAAATTTGATGTTTATTCAGAAAGCTGGAATTTGGGTAAGGTTGGGGTATAGTTGAATTTACAAGGGGAGTAAATTGTTAGCATAATTGAATTTATTTTTGTGTGAATATATTTATGTAGGAAAATGCCTCGATATGGTGACCGTGATCGTGGTGACCGAGGTGACCGTGGTGATCGTGATCGTCATGGCAGTGGTACACGCCTGTATGTTGGTCGCTTGTCTTCGCGCACCAGGAGTCATGACTTGGAAGATCTTTTCAGCAGATACGGAAGGTAATGTAATTTAGGTTACTACTATATAATTATGACATCTTGTATCAAATTTTCTGTTGGAGGCTTTGTGAATTTGTTATTGACTGTAAAGATGGTTGTGTGTTTGTAATTGAAAGTACCATTGTAATTTAACATGGTTATATAAGTTTAGTACTTGAATTAATATACTAAAGGAGTAAAATGAAGTTTTCTCTTTGATCAAGTATCTCTTCAGTGTTGGGTGCTGGTTTTTAGTCGATGTGAGTGGGGGAAGTTCTCCTTATGACTTGTGCTATGGCAAGTCGAGGGGCTCTTGCAAAGGTCCTTAATCTTTTTAATGTATGTATGTTCCTAATGAAAATATTTCTTCGAGAGTGTTGCAATCCTCCATGTGTCGTGTGGCTTAACTTGAATGTCTTGTTGAAGGTTTCTAGGCTTTTGCCTAGCCTTGGAGGTCTATGGTGGGATGGTTGCCCTTGATGGAATTGGTGGCTATTCTTGCAATGTATAGGGGACTTTGGCGATTCTTTCTATAATTTAATGCGTATTTTTATGGAATTGGCAACATTCTCAAAGTGGTGTTTAGTTCATCTGTGAGGGGCGAGGTATCAACCCTTCGGTAGTTTTGTCCTGATGGCCTTACTGTTTATGGAAACCGTTTACGCAGAGTACGTGACGTGGATATGAAGCGCGATTATGCCTTTGTTGTATGTATTTCTTCCCTCTTCTCCACTTCTCTTTTAATAATCTGTTGTTCCCAGAAGCACTATAGCGATTTGTGCTCTTTTGTTAATCATATATGAGATTTGGTGTTGTTTTTGTTACATTATGATAACAGGAGTTTAGTGATCCTCGTGATGCTGAAGATGCAAGATATAGCTTAAATGCACGAGATGTGGATGGTAGTCGAATTATTGTTGAGTTCGCAAAGGGGGTATGTGGCAATGTACATCCTTTGGTGTTGTAGTGTATTACCAATAATTATTGTGTTATTATAAATTGCTCTTTTTTTTCGTTACTTAATTATATAATAGACTAGTAGAGTTTCTGATAGCTTGTTTTAAATAAGCTTAAGCAGCTGTAACTGGCCAATTATTGGATGCTTGCCTCATTGTAGATATTCATAGTGCAATGCATTTTTAGATTGTTCCGTACTTCAACATGCTAATGTGCTGTGCCTAATCTATCTACAATTCTACGATGTATTGATATGCTGATTTTTTTTCTAATCTATCATGTAGGGACCACGGGGTCCAGGTGGTTCGCGGGAGTCACGTGACTTTGGCAGCAGAGGACCAGCCCCAGGATCAGGAAGATGTTTTAATTGTGGAATTGAAGGCCACTGGGCTCGAGATTGCAAAGCAGGTGACTGGAAGAACAAATGTTACCGCTGTGGAGAGCGGGGCCATATAGAAAGGAATTGTCAAAACAGCCCCAAGAAACTTAGGTCTTTATTATTACTTTGCCCCCACGAATAATTTACATTACTGTTATTTCTGTCTCTTTTTCTGAAACTGCCTACTCTTATTTTGGTTTTCTACAATACCACTTTAAACTTAACCATCAGTTTATCTTTAAATATTAAGTCTAATTGTGGTAAGGGTTAAGAGATTGAAAGCTTCTCACCCTAATCACATTTGATCGATCTGAAATAGATCTATTAAGAAATTATTTTGCATTAAGCCCCATCCCTCACCTCTCCCCTAGCTCCACCATTGCTTGCAATATTAAAAAAGTAGAATTTGTTTACTAACAAGGATAGTCACATCTTTGAAAGAGTAAACTTGAGTTATAAGCTTCTTTTCTTGAAAGCAATAAACTTTGGGGTGGCTTACTTTGATTGTTACTGAGTAAATTATGTTTGCTTTCTTCTAGCAGACGCGGTCGAAGCTACTCGCCCTCGGGATCGCCACGCCGGCGTTCACCATCTCCTCGTCGAGACAGAAGCCGTAGCCGTAGTTTTAGTAGGAGCCGTAGCTACAGGTGTGTTATTCATTGAAGCAATTTTTATGCAATTACAATAAACTTGTGTGCAAGATGAGTTTCATCTGGTTGTAAATGCCGGTAAGGCTATCTTTGGATTGGTATATTGGGGTGTCTTTTAGTGTGATGACTTTGGTGTTGTGTACTTCTAGCTTTGTCCCTTTTGATCTTATAGCTATTGTACTTCCAGCTTTGTTCCTTTTGATCTTATTGCTGGGTTTTGATGCACACTGGAGAAAGGGTAGCTTAGGGTTGAATTTTTTGGCATATTATGCAATTTTTTTTTGTATGTTTGTACGCCTAGAAAGGGGTATAGCCGTACAGTAGAAAGGAGTAAAGCAATTTTGTATTTTGTTTTTAATGTGAGAAACAATATGGGTTTGTTGGGGTGTTTTTCTTCATTACTTCTAGATAGTAGTAGTTGGTAAGTTACTTATTATTACTCGGAAACATTGGCAAGTATTGTACTTCCAGCTTTGTTCCTTTTGATCTTATTGCTGGGTTTTGATGCACACTGGAGAAAGGGTAGCTTAGGGTTGAATTTTTTGGCATATTATGCAATTTTTTTTTGTATGTTTGTACGCCTAGAAAGGGGTATAGCCGTACAGTAGAAAGGAGTAAAGCAATTTTGTATTTTGTTTTTAATGTGAGAAACAATATGGGTTTGTTGGGGTGTTTTTCTTCATTACTTCTAGATAGTAGTAGTTGGTAAGTTACTTATTATTACTCGGAAACATTGGCAAGTATTGTATTTCACTTGGGTTAGCACTAATATAGATGGCAATTCTATTGCTGAAAACATAGTTTGTCACTATTTGTTATGGTTTATCCCATTGGCAACTGTGTTTCTGGCTTGTAACCTGTCTACTTGCATTTTTTTTTTCTGTTGCTGGAATCTGTTTTGGCTTTTCTGGTTTGGTTTTGGTGGGGCTCTTAAATTGCATGCCATTAGGGTAGTGTTCAAATGCACTGTTTAAGTATTTTTTTTTTTTTTTCATCCCTGCAGTCAGTCTAGATCTCCACCAAAAAGAGAAAGAGATATCGAGCGTGCTGGTCGGTCAAGGAGCCCTCGTCCAAGCAAGAGCCCTGTCAAAAGCAGGAGCCCTATAAGAAGCAGAAGCCCCAAACGACAGAAAAGCTCTCCTCTGTCATCAAGGGGCAGGAAACGCTCTCCAACACCCGATGATAGGAGTCCTGAAGGCAGAGGTAGATCCTCTGATAGGGATGAGAGACGTGCCAATGGATCTGATTATGCTGGTAGCCCAAGGTCAAGGAGTAGAACCCCTGTCAAAGAAGGTGAAAGAGAGAGCCCTAGGAATGGAGATGCTCGAAGTCGTAGCCCCTTTGAAGAAAATGGCCGAGATCACAGTGCCAGCCCTGTTGCTAGGAATGACAAGAATGGTAAGGAAGATGACAATGACGACTATGAAGCTTCTCCTAGGGGCAGTGAATGATCGGAGATACTAGTGTTTTTTTTTTTTTTTTTTTTTTTTTTTTACTTTTTAATATCTTGTGTTCACAACTAAAGCTGTTTACTGGAAGGATGTCGCATTTGCCTTGGTTTAAACTCTGTTGTTATTACATAGAATTTTTTGTTCTCATTCAATTGTTTATGTATCTGATAGTTTTTGTTGGATTATTTTGCTGAATAATGACCTGTTTTAACACCTTTCATATTGATGGTAAATGGCAGGCAGATGTTAAGTACTTAAGTGTTAACTGTTAAGGTTTTAAGTTTGCATTTGGTGTTTGCTGGCATAATGATAGCTTATACTAGGCTGTACGAATTTGTGTTTGAAATCATCGGTTGGAAAATTTGTTGATAAATACTGTTACGACATTTTCTACTACCTCTATATTGTGGAGGCATGATGGACCACTACCAGGTATGGACTCTCATGTCCAATACCTAGGGGTATAATCGTCATTTGACATATATTAGGACAGTAATCATTAAAAGTTACCAGCTGTAAATATTAAGTTTCTCTCTCTTCCAAAATGCTCCGGAAAACGCTCTCAATTTCGAAACATTGTGAGTGGTAACGCTGCTCAAAAACCCGGTGAAGCTACCAAATTGTGAATTTGTGATTGGTAACTCAAACTTTGCTAATGTCAGGTAATGCTACTATACGAAATCAGTGTATTTAATTTTGGGATATTAAGAGGGTATACATTCTAGGGTTTTCAATTTAGGGATTTCGAAAGTAAATTCAACTTATGGTTTTCAATCTAGGGATTTTGATATAGTGTATAGAAAGGGTTTTCATTTTACGGATTTTGGATAACATTTAAGTATTAACTGTTTATGCAAATTTAAGTATTAAGGGTTTTGCAATTTTGCTTTAATAAGGTCCCGGTCGAGGTGGAGGAAGAAGAGGTGGAAGGGCGCCGAGTCGAGGCCGCTGAGGTGGTCGAGGTTGCCGGGAAAAAGGTTTTTCTCGATCTTTGAATGATTTGACTTTTTTTTGTATGAAATATTGTTTATGAAATTAATCTTTGCTGAAATTAAAGAATATGATTATGATAATGATGTTGAATTTTGTTAGTGGATTTGTCAGACTTTTCTTTTTAATCATAATCAATTGTAGAAACCCTGTGAATTATATATAAGTTCTTAATTCCAAGCTACCAATGTTTGTTGCTGGAATTTATTGAAGAACTAAATTTCAATTTTTGATTCCGAATATAGATATTTATTGAAGAGTATACTCTGATATTTCCTTAAAAAAAACACTATGATATACAAGTATTACTTAAATTTCTTTCTGTGCTTGATGCTGCTGGGTTATGGTTAGTATAAAAAGCTTGTGGAGTGGAGGACCCGGTGTGTGTAGCGACTGGCTTTGTCAAGTTGTGCACTGACTATGTGTCATCAACATTAACCTGCCCCTGCTGTTAAGGTTAATGTTGATGCCCATATTTTGGAGGGGGTGAGTGCTAGTTATGGTGTGGTTGTTAGAGATGTTGCTGGTGGTATTCTTCTTGCTGCTATCAAGAGCATTGATTTGAAGTAGACTCCCAAAATGGCTGAGTCAGGGCAGTGGCTTATGGTGTGCAATTGGCGAGGAGATTTGGCTATAGCAACGTGATACTCGAAAGTGATGCTTTGAGTGTTGTGAATGCGATCAAAGGCAAACACCAAGGTGCTGCTCGTTGGCCTTGGATACTTCTAACTCTTAAGAGCAATTTTGTATGTCTTCTTTTCCCTAAAGTTTAATAAATTTGGCGGAAATTGATTTATGCTAATAAAATCGTTGCTTGCTTGCTTAAAAAAAAAAAATCAACACTTTATATGCTGATATAATAATTATGTGCATATTTTGATTAATCTGTTGTATTTGAATACTTTGTGTAGGTGGAAGGTGTTCGATTTTGCTTCACTTATAGTAACTGAGTGAATTACCCACTTTCCTCAATTGCTAGGAACCTTGAATTAAACATAAGTCTTTTATATATTGATCCAAATAGAAGGATATTTTGATTCAGATTCTTGGTATGGATTAATTTGATTGGCTATGTAGCACATTGTATTAGTTGGTAGTTATAATTTTTTTTTTTTTTTTTTTTTTTTTTTTTTTTTAATATCTTGGATTGCTTATGCAATGCTATGATGAATTGTGTGATGTTTAAGGACAATGGATGTCGCGGAAGAAAGGAGCTGCCGCTGGCACATATTGTGGCTTGATTGTAATCCTAGTTATAAAAGCATTGTAATTTTTCTTTTTTTTTTTTTAGGAATGATATTGTAAAATTACAACTATTTATTAATAATAATCCAATTTTTATAAGGATCTTGCTAGCATACTCCCTAGATAGTTAGATAACAATCGAATATACTTCCTAACATTTCGACTCAATCGGTGAAATTTAACTTTCCCATGTAAATTTTGTTTTTCAATGTACTTTTAGTCCCAAATTGATACTCCTTTATGGCCTATTTTTAGTCCCAAATTGATAGTCCCATTTGCTTTTTTCAAGTACCATTAATATCAATTTTTTATCAAAATTTCCTCCAATTACAACAATATTTGTACAAATTTAACTTTCCCATGTAAATTTTGTTTTTCAATGTACTTTTATTACTTTCTCTCTCTACTATTTTACATACCCAATGTAAATTTATCTTTTCAATGTAATTTTACTACTTTTATTTAAGTTTCTTAATTCCCGTGATTTTTGCCCATAAGGGACTATCATTTGGGGACGGAGGGAGTATTATCGAGTTGCTCACGAGCTTATATTATTGAGTCAAGTTAGAGTTTGCTCAACTCGTGCTCGTTAACATCTCGACTCTCCAGTCAAGTTTTGACTTAATTTGAGCGAGTCGAGTTCGGGTTGCTCCAAGCTTCTCAACTCAATAAGCACCCCTAAGTCCCCTCCATAATCCAGGTCATCACTCTTAATCACCACTATACCTACAACCAATTGGTACTTCTTTTGTTTTTAAATGCTTGCAATATTTCTTTAAATGAATATGTTACAATAATTGCGAACATAGCCAACTTAATTAATACCATTGTTGTTAATGTATTCATCGCTTACTTGATTAAATCTTTCAGCCACATTTTCTACGTATTAAATCATTTAAAATCCACTTTTGTTAAATGATTTAGGAATATAAGTGAGTGTTACATAATACAAGTACTAAAAAACGAAGGAGGTGCAGTATATATGAACACAATAACCGTGTCAAAAATTTGTATAACAGTACATGAATTGCAATAATAGTATATGAATTAGAAAAATAAGTGAGTGTTATATAAAACAAGTACTAAAAAACGAAGGAGGTGGAGTACATATGAATACAATAACCGTGTCAAAAATTTGTATAACAGTATATGAATTGCAATAATAGAATATGAATTAGGAAAATAAGCGAGTGTTACATAATACAAGTACTAAAAACGAAGGAGGTGCAGTACATATGAAAAAATATCCGTGTCAAAAATTGTACAACAGTATATGGATTGCAATAATAGTATATGAATTAGGAAAATAAGTGAGTGTTACATAATACAAGTACTAAAAAAACGAAGGAGGAGTATATATGAACACAATAATCGTGTCAAAAATTTGTATAACAGTATATGAATTTCAATAATAGTATATGAATTGCAATAACAGTGTGTAATGTCAACACTAATCCAAGCTTGGTCTGTCTAGTGGAAAAGAGAGTACCTTCGAATCATGAGGTTGGGAGTTCAATCCTTATTAGTGACAGTTTGAGAGAGTGAAATTCCCTTATCTTCCCCCCACTCTTCCAAACTGTCTCGCCCGCTATCCCGAGACGAGAGGACCTGTGAGAGGTTCCGGCTCGATAGGGCCCTCCTCCTTACCAAAATAAAAATATATTAAATACATATAATCACAGAGTTAAATTAAAGTAGCAACCTGATGCACAAGTCAAAAAAAGGTCTATTATATACCCATATATATTGTTATATCCTTTTCTCAAAAAAAATATTGTTATGTACTCCGTAAAACCGTTCTTTTAATATGATATACAGTTATTATATGATAAATACGGTTATCAACTATTGAGATTCTGGTTTAATGTAAGATGCATTACGTATATGTAACTAGCCACATGGTGTAACCACTTTACATAATAAAATATAAGACAGTTAATTAAGTAATAATAGGGGTCACAATGATAAGCAAATGGATTACCTAAACATATACTGATATACATAGGTTACTTATATTGAAAAAGGGGTTACTCTCTTAAATAAGTAAAATTATTTTATTATTTTTAAAATTGAAATAATAAAGGTCACCCGAATGAACAAATGGAATTATTTATATTTAAATTACTAGATTTTACTCGTATAATGAATTTAGATGACATTTATGGACAACATGAATTACTCTTATGAGAAAATAAGGTTTCTCATACATATAATTAAATTAAGATTACTCTTAAAAACTAATGTGGCTACATCGTATTGCTAGCCACATACAAAATTTATACTTCCATAAGTAATCTAATACGGAGTACCATTTGAAAAAAAAAAAAAAAAAAAAAAAAAAGTAATCTAATACTAGTACCATTTTTATGTTAGAATATTTTAATTTATTTGAAACTCCCTAAAAGAGATGTGAAGGCATATCTACAAAATTAAATTCATGTCATTCACATGACGAACTTTAAAAAGATATACCATTAACAAGATAAATGGCAAATACGTAGTATGGATTGATGTAATTACAAATAAAATTATTCATGTAAAATAAAAGAATAAAAAGTGTAGTATAATTCCTTAAATATCGTGTTCCTCTAAATATAACTATATTTGTATTTAACATGACAGTATATACTTCAAGGACAGCAGTTTACAAAAATATCAGTATGAACTTCCGGACGGTTCCAAATTGCCTAAAGTATTTGTCAGCCTACCCTCCTCTATTTTAGAATTTCCAGCAGCAACAAAGACTCTAACACAAAGTTGCTTCCCATACTGCCTAAAGTATTTGTCAGCCTCAACCTAGCTTGAGGATACCATACCCGCTTCCAGACGGTTCACAACCTCCTCCTGCTTCCCTTCTTCCATTTTCAACACTCCAACCTTCCCCTACAGGTGTACCAAAGGCGTCCAAACAATTCTGAAACCTCTCATTCCTATGTATCACATGAGGGCCTCTAGAGTTTAGGCAAGACAAGCCAGATTACGTTTAGAATATGCAATCAAATCTAGAGTTTAGGCAAGACAAGCCAGATTACATGTATACTATGCATTTAAATCTAAAGTTTAAGCAAGACAACCAGATTTTGTAACACATTCCAACATATCATAATCAATTTGCAAGTCTCAACATCAACAACTAATTAGAGATTTAGAACAATTACAGGTGCATTTTCCGTTCACTATGTGATTATGTGAACATTTATACAGTTTATTAACCAAATCAATCTACCCCACCAACATATAACCAAGATCTTTATTAATTATCCAATTATAATTCAGCATTATTCTCCAAATTATAATGACATGTAACTACACCCACTAGGCCACTACATGATCTTATGTTGGGAACAAATTAAGTGGTCATTGATCATCTGCTGCATCGTATTCTAGTAGTCATATTCTTCATATTCCAGTATCATACTAGACTATAGCATTGTATGTCATGCTAAAGCCAAATATAATTAGATTCAAATTCACAGTTGATATACATAGGAAGTTGAATTGGAAGAGTTATAGATATATGGGGCAGCTGGCAGGGAGGAGTGCAGCAAAGCGCAACTGAGAGTTAAGGCCTGCAGTGTGAAGGGTAAAGAAATATGGGGCAGCTGGGTTCTGAGCAAGGAAGGAGAGGGGAGTACAGAAGGAAAAATCAGGCAGATTCGTGGAAGAAGGGAGCTAAACATGCTCAAAACGCGGCTGCATAGCTTACAACAGATTAAGAGCAGAAAGTTGCTTAATTTCAGATCCACTTTCAAGAAAGGCATGTGCAAAGGTGGCTGCAAGGAGATCTTATGGGGATTTAGGATGGGAGAAATCTTATACAAGACGTAAAAGAGGAGCTTCTAATGTTTCATTGAAGTTTTAATTGCAATAGTATTAATTGTAATAGAGTGAGGGAGTAGTTTCTCCATTCTACTGCTATCAAAAGAAACAAAAAAAAAAATAGTAATCATCACCAAACAACCAACACCAACACTCAGATTAATCCCAACATTCGATTATAAGCAATATATGAATCTGGTAGAAAATATCATTCTGGTAGTACCGTAGTATTATAACATTCTGGAAGAATTAATGTAATCAAAACCAACCATCCGAAGCTGTACAAAAACAACACATTCATCCCAATATTTGGCTGATCTTACTTTCTCAATTCATAAAAATTAAGTTAATTACCATTAAATTTGGATAAAAGTATAAAATGTTGATGGCATGAATGAACAAACTTAAAGCAAAGTCAACATACATCAGGTTCTTCCTCCTCTAAGCTTTCATCAGCTTCTATTACTTGGGGCGATTCGTCAACATTTCCTCCAAGTTTTCATCAATTTTCTACAGAGTAACAACACCAAATTCAACTGTAGAATGGAAAAACTTCGATGAAAAGCACAAAGATAAACCCTAGAAATTGTAGATCTACATTGACATTTACTGAAATTAACACAAAGATTTGCTATGGAGAAATTTCAAGCTTAACCCAGAAGCTATTACCTGAAATTGAACTGATTTTTAGCTCTTTCATGCTCCAATACCACCGGAAAACGCTATTTGAAACCTCTGAAAAAACTCTAAGCTAAACCCTCCAAAACGCTATTTGGGAAACGCTTTTTAGTGGGTGAAATGTTTTACCCAGCTGTCACTCCAATTACCTTTTGCAAAATTCATTTCCCTTTAAAAAATAGAAAAATATAATATTTTAATTCAGGTATTGGACATGAGAGTCCATACCTGGTAGTGGTCTATACTTTCTCCTATATTGTCTATTACTGTAATGTTTAATAGTCTGCACAAATTGTATTACCTCCTTGTATATTAGTATAATATCTATTACCTTTGTTTCAAATTATTTGCGAGAATAATTTGAAATGGAAGTAGTAAATTATTTTTTGTTTGGTAACCATTCATCCTTGTTCTTTTTACTACCTCAGTTACAGGTTATGTACAACGATTAGACATTTTTCTTCTCTGCTTTATGTCAAATCGTTGCACATAACTTGTAGCGGAGGTAGTATTATGGATCTCCTTGAATGTAATAAAATCAATTTTTAAATTTCTCACCCAATCTGAACTTCAGTTTACCAAAAATCATATTGATTTGCAACTTTTTGCCTCCTGGCGCAACTACTTTTTTTTCTTTCGGGAATATTATTATCTTGAGGTGCTGACGTAAAACAAACTCGAAACTTCGTAAGTGGTCTATTGCTGCTAAACATATTGCCATAATCTTCTACTACCTCCGTTAAGTTTTATTTGCAACTTTTACTATATTTGGATACTTAGTATTATTTGCAACTTTCCAAAATCTTTTCCTTTTTAGTAAGTTTTTTTGGCTAAAAATGTCAATATTGCCCTTATTTTAAAAATTAAACATTCGCTTAAATAATTAATTGCATTACATCAACAACTTAATCTGGATCTAACAAATCCCAATTTGGCTTTTTCTCTCTCCTCTCAATCACAACCTCCATTGATTTCGACTTCGACAAGCACTAGCAACAACGTTGTCGGGCTATGGTGGTTTTGCGGCAAGAAGTAAGGAAGCAATACACAAGTATATTTCATGGATTGGATGATTTTCGTGGGTTTGTAGGTTTTTTAGGTTCAAAGGTTTTAGTGGATTTGTGGGCGATCGGTGATTTTTGGTGGGTTTGTGGGTGGTTTCGATTATTTTCGGTGGGTTTATGGGTGATTTTAGTGATTTTCGTGGATCTTGTTGGTGGTTTCAGTGGGTTTTGTGGGTGGCGTTGATGGTGCCGGTGTTGGTTAGTGGTCTAGATTTAGGTGGGTTTATGGGTGGTTTCATTGATTTTTGTGGGTTTTGTGGGTGGTGTTGATGGTGTCGGGTGTCGATCGGTAGTCTAGGCCGAGTTTAGGGTGTTTCGGCGGTGTCGGTGTTTGTGGTGGTCTGGGTTGGGAGTTTCGACAGTGTCGGTGGTTGTGGTGGCCTGGGTTTGGAAGTTTTGGTGGTATTGGTGGTCCGGGTTTGGGTGGGTGTCGGTGGTGGTGACTGGTCTGGTTTCAGTGGTGTCGGTGGTGGTGGCCTGGTCACCTAGTGAGTGGCTTGGGTAGTTTACTAATCATGTTTAATTTATCTCTCTCCTCCTTAATCACAAACCCTTTCATTCCATAATCACTGTTATGAAATTTTGACTTGGGATCCGTGTTACACCTCAAAGTTGCAAATAAAACTTAACGGAGGTAGTATATAATTTAAGTCTCATTTTTACTACATTTAACCACAATCTTTCAAATCCCCCATACTCAAATTCTATGCATTTCAATATATTTGTTTTTAACAAAGACAAAAACTACCCATTCTACTGATTTTTTTTAATTTTTGGATTTTTTCAAGGGAATTCAATACTACTAACATTTCACTTTGTCTTGAATTCTTTTGCGTTAAATATATTGGCACGGGATATGCTACTATGCACTTGTAGTCTTGTTGAACAGTGTTGGATTTTTGTCAAATCCTCATCAACACATGAACCAAGGAGACTTAATAGGGAAACATGAAACAATGAATTTCACAACTGGACTACCAACTTTCATCATACGAAGTATATTATGGAGGAACTAGAAACGGAAGAAAGTTAGGCATTTACAAATGCATAACAAGGGATATTCATGTAATTATACATATGTACAAACGAATGCATATTCTGGTATCATTGGATGATCAAATGGTACCACTGAATATCCAGTGATACTATATATGTACATAATGGTATTAAATATGCATTTAGTTGTACAAAATTTATGCATAAATAGTACCACAAAAGATTCAATGGTACCATATAAACTTTCAGTGGAACAATCAACATGTGGTCCCCCATCACGTGATACAATCCGACCAAAGAATAGGTGAGGTCCATCTACAGACCTCTATCTTCCTATCTCTCTCCTCTTTTCTCTTTCTATCATGTGTTTTAATAATATTTTTATCAATGTTATGCATTTACAAATGCCTAACTTTCCTCCATTTAAAATTCCTCGTATATTATGGACAGAGGATGAAAATATGCTCCTCACTGGATTCACTATGAAGCTTTAAAAGTTAGAGGAAATACAAATGGAGGAATGTTATGCATTTGTAAATACATAACATTGATTAAAATATTTTAAAAACACATGGTAGAGAGAGATAGGAAGAGAGAGGTCTGTACATAGACCCCACCTACATTTTGGTCGGATTGTATCACGTGATGGGGGACCACATGCTGATTGTTCCACTAAAAATTTATATAGTACCATTAAATCCTCAGTGATACTATTTATGCATAAATTTAGTACAAATGAATGAATAAATAATACCATTGTGTGCATATACAGTATCACTGTTTATTCAGTGGTACCATTTGATCATCCAATGATACCAAAATATACATTCGTTTGTACACATATGTATAATTACATGATACCCCTTGTTATGCATTTCTACATGCGTAACATTCGTCCCTTTAAAAGTTAACCTGATCTCATTATATAATTAGTGTATTAGCGTGCGATCATCTATCTCATAGGCTTCGCTACAAAAAAAAGCAGGGCCTTTTGGAAACCACAAGTGATCCCGTAACTTAAGGATAAGGGGTGCTCTCTTATCTTGTGATTAGGGAAGTAATGTGCAGTAAAATACGCTTCACGATCTCTTGTACGGAGTATACAGTAAAAATAAAAGGTTTCATTATCTTTTGATCAAACATGTACTGTTGAAGTGGTTGTAGCAAACCTGATCAGAGTAAAAAACCATCAACATCCTTCATGGCGGCAAATGCAGTGGAGAAGCCATTAAAAATATACAGACGTCCACAACTGCTTTTATTGCGACATAACTGGTTGATTATCTTTGAGGCAGCTGAAAACTTGATTTTATAGCCACGGAGCAATCTACTGCTTATAAAAACATTCACAGACTGATAAACAAGAATAACAACATCAGCAAAGAAAATAACAAATTGTTCAAATTGCCCTTTTGATATGTACATGTGGGTAGCTGCCAATCCTCCAACGGGTCACAGCCAAAAAAAGAGAAAAGAAAAATCTATTCTTGTTGACGGTCTTTTTACATAGTTGTTCAAGGTATGATTCTATGAGATGAATGCCTTGGCAAGATCAGAATAGTTGCAGACCACACCTGTCCTTGGGCAAGTAATTTTACCATTATTCCTACGAGCCATATCCTCGAGAGCCTGCCAAAGCACAATCAATAAAATGGACTATGGTTACAGAAAGGGAAAAAGAAAATTCTGAGAAAAAAGATAGCTTAAAGAATAATCAATCCACTTATGGACACTACACAAACCTTAGTGCTGTAGACATAGCCATTTGGTAAGACCATAGGCGGATTTTCAGTATCCATCAATTCTTTTGTTATGTAGCAGACAATTTTTGAGTGTTGCTGCTTCGAGAATGGAAGTGATACTGCCAATTTACGGAAACTTTCCTGAGACAATGGATCATCTTTCGGACAGTCATCTTCATAGCAAAATCTAAAAGAGGTCAAGGGACAGCATATTTCACTGGACCTAAATGGAATCAAGATGCAGTTCTCCGCAATTTAGCATGCAAGTGAAATCCATGTTCTAGTCTTGAAGATAGCTTCATAGACAGCATTTAGGCTAGTGTTCATAGTTTCAAACCAAGCAGCATGAACAATATATAGATGTGAAACATGTGTCCTGATTGTGCTGAAAAGCACCTAAAATCTATATTTATGTTAGGTGACTAATATTACTATGTGGGAAAGCATGATGCAGGAGCAATTCTATATTGGTGATAGAAAAGGAAAAGTGCATACTTGCACAAGCAGTCAAGCACAACAACAAAGCCTTAGTTCCAAAAAAAATCTTGTTATTGCATCGTCTCTATGTTAGCTCTTATTTAAAATTTAAATTTAACAAAAAAGCAACAAAAGTGATACGGAGTTTTCAAAGCAGATTTAAAAATTAAATTTAAATAAAAAGCAACAAAAAGGATACGGAGTTTTCAAAGCAGATAAGCCGGCCTGCAAATAGATATTTAATAATGGTTCAAGGGTCATGCCATACAATCTGTAGAATTCCTGCTTGAAAAGGTCCACCAGGTGGTCCCATTGCTTGGGTTCAAAAAGGACCTGCCAAGAGGAAAAGGAGGCAAACATCAAGTATGAGCTAAGTAGAATTATTCTGTCCAAAACACCAGTCATTATTTTCTCTTTTAAGGGAAAATCAACCAAGATTAAGTGGTCACATTGTCACAATGACATCCAAAGAATTAGCTTCTTATGATAACCTTGTTGAGAGAGTCAATACATTGTTATAAAAGATTGAATGGGCTATGCGAGCTTGGTTATAGTAAGGCCTGGCAGTCAAGCTAAAGCTTGCTTCTATAATGAGGGCAGTCTCCCTCTATGATGAGGCAATTTGACCACAAGACCTCAAACCCCACAAAAGACTGCAAGAAGTTTATTTGATTTCTTTAAAGAAAAAGACATTAATTTATTAAAAGAGACAATTGAACTTCACCGGCTTAAGAAATACGAGTACACAAACAAAATTACATATAATCAGCCCCACATCAACCCAATATAACCCAATGCCTCAGGATCTACTTCACATATGCTCTTTGTAGTGGCAAGTCAATAAGGGAAATTCACATTAATTCTGTTAGCATTTTC